TTGATTCCAGTGGTTAATGTGTCATTATGTCTTTTAAAAGCATCACCAAGAGAAGTAAAAGCTGAAGAGAAATCACCAATTTCCATTAATGTGAAGACAGTCAAAAAAGAACCTGAGGATAGACAACAGGCTTCCAAAAGTCCTTACAACGGGTGAGTATACGGGCCTTAGAAACTGGCCTTTAGGAATCTTTTGTTTCTAACACACTAAGTTTGTAATTAATATGTTGTGGGGGTTTTTTATTTTGAAGTGTAAGAAAAGACAGCAAGAGAAGTAGAAACAGCAGAAGTGCAAGTCGATCAAGGTCAAGAACACGATCGCGTTCTAGATCTCATACTCCAAGAAGACAGTAAGTAAATATTTTCTTAGGGAAAGTAGTCTTACTTGGAGTCTTCAAAAGTTACTACTTTTTCTAAATTATTGAACATAGACTATTTTCAAAGATAGGATAGAATTAGACTTTTTAGTGAGGTAAAATTTAGGAGAAATGAGTTTGGAGAAACACAGATACGTCGTGTCTTGATGGCATTCTGTGCCCCTACCCCTTTTTTGAGGCAGTCGCACTTTGTCACCCTCAGTAGAGTGCTGGCGCATCACAGCAACCTCAAACTACTGGTCTCAAATGATTCTCTTACCTCAGCCTCCCAAGTAGCTGGGACTTCAGGCAGCAGTCAAAACACCTGGCTATTTTTAGAGACAAGGTCTCTCTCTGGCCAGGCTGTCTCGAACCTGTGAGTTAAGGCAATCCACCTGCCTCCCAGAGTGCTAGGATTACAGGTGTGAGCCACTGGCGCCTGGCCTTCTCCCATGTTTTTTTCTTTGTTTGTTTTTGAGATGTGCAGAGGCTGCCCAGAAAAATGCTTGTAGAGGTATATTATAGCCCTGTCTATAATGTAAAAACATTGTCTTTTCATTTAATTTCCATTAATCTGTTATTAATAAGCAGTAATCAAATTATAGCCAAAAAATCTGTCCTGGATAGCTTCATAATTAGATGCCTAGCTCTTTGTGTCTCTTGAGCATGTGGGAGCTATTTTATAAAAGGTACAGCTCTAGAACATAGGTAAATTACCCCCTTCCTTGGAGTAGAGACATAGGACATTGGAGATTTATCTACTATTAAAAACGTTTGGGTGGGGAGAAGTTTAGGGGTATGGAGATACAGAAAAAGTTCTCAGTTCTATCATTAGTATAGCTGATAAGTTTTGTTTGAATCTGTTATGAGTAACTACCAAAATCTGTTCCCCATAGAAACTGAATCTAAACCTCAAATTTTTATTATCTAAGTTATAATAATAGGCGGAGTCGATCTGGAACATACAGCTCGAGATCAAGAAGCAGGTCCCGCAGTCACAGTGAAAGCCCTCGAAGACATCATAATCATGGTTCTCCTCACCTTAAGGCCAAGCATACCAGAGATGATTTAAAGAGTTCAAATAGACATGGTCATAAAAGGAAAAAATCTCGTTCTCGATCTCAGAGCAAGTCTCGGGATCACTCAGACGCTGCCAAGAAACACAGGCATGAAAGGGGACATCATAGGGACAGGCGTGAAAGATCTCGATCCTTCGAGAGATCCCATAAAGGCAAGCACCATGGTAGCAGTCGCTCAGGACATGGCAGGCACAGGCGCTGACTTTCTCTTCCCTGGAGCCTGCATCAGTTCCTGGTTTTGCCTGTCTACAATGTATGATGTATGGACTCCAAAAAATCAAAACATTAAAGGCAAATGGATTAGGATTTGATTTCTTCAAAACCCTCTAGGTCTCTAGAAATACTGAGGACATTTTCTTTTTAAAAGAACTATGTTAAATTTTTTTTGCACATTAAAATGCCCTAGCAGTATCTAATTGAAAACCATGGTCAGGTTCAATTGTACTTTATTATAGTTGTGTATTGTTTATTGCTATAAGAACTGGAGCGTGAATTCTGTAAAAATGTATCTTATTTTTATACAGATAAATTGCAGACACTGTTCTATTTAAGTGGTTATTTGTTTAAATGATGGTGAATACTTTCTTAACACTGGTTTGTCTGCATGTGTAAAGATTTTTACAAACAAATAAAATACAAATCTTGTTTTTCTAAACTGCTTCAAATATCTTATTTAAATAAATTATTAAAAAGGAAAAATTTTAATAGCAAAATGGCTGTACTGATTTTTTCTGATAAACTTAACT